AAATTGGGGAAGTTGATTTTGAGCAAATAACCAAGAATTGATCGTTCAATCTTCAACTACATTGACACTCCCCGGCAAAAAACGGATCCAACCCTTTTTTCCTTCACGACCAATGCACGTTGACTTGGATGCGATTGCGAGAACCTGGGTCACACGGACAGAGCTGAAATGGAAAAAAAAACAGAAACGCCAACACACCACAAGCATACCCACAGCACAATCTCACACATCGCTGACGACCTGCGCCTCCAGACAGAGACCTCCTCTTGACATCTTGCAACACAATCGCCACTTGCTAGAATGAATCTTGCAGAATGCAGCGTGACCATAGTAGCACCTCATGATACTCTTCAAGCATCCTCTTATCTACTCACTACCAATTACCACTGAAATCGCTTGTCACTCATTCTGCCTCAGTTCTAGTAGCGGTGACGTATGCGAGCCTCAGTCGTTTACACTCTTTCTCCCCGGCGTGTCGGACCACAGCTAACAATTATCTCCGTGTGCATTTCATTCTCAGCAATAGCCTAGCCTCTCAGACGTGTACCACCCATCTGCTGTCTCTAACATCAATCGATTCATTCATGGATGTAGAAGACTCGAAACAACTTCAGAAGTAATCACGACGAAAATTTTAACAAAATTACGCAATAACAACAAGATACAAAAACAACAAGTAAACACGATGAATCCAAAATACACCAATTGCTATGACACACCACACACGTTTATACAAACAATAGAAACAAACTCGCAGTTCGTGTCTTGATGGAATTCCTTTGAAGAATCGCAGGACTTACACCAGTACGCCTACAACCCTTCTCACGTTGACGATTGTAATTTGTGGAATGTCCGTACACAAACAAGATTAACCAACAATTACATCAATTGTAACTCACACAACTATTTAGCACAAACATATGTACAATCAACACATCAAATGTTGTGGATTCTGACACGACAAACTACCCTTGAAGAACTGTAGGACTTACAGCAGTACGCCTACATTCCTCCTCAGGTTGATGATCCAAGTGGAAGTCGTCCGGACACAAACAGAATTACCAACAGCTAGATGACAGATGATATCAATTCAGTATATACAATATGAACATATGTACAAGATCATACACCAAGCACATTGGACTGCTCATTGATGCGCTACCCTTTGAAGAGCTGTAGGACATACAGCAGTACGCCTACAACCCTTCTCAGGTTGACGCCCTAGGTTGGAAAATCGTCGCAGAGTTCATTTGCTAACTTCCTTCTCTCAGCTATATCCTCAAATCTGAACGGCAACACGCCCATGTCATTGTATCGTAGAATATAGATGACCAACAAACACACGGCATATCTGATCAACCAAGTGTAGAAACACAGTAATTTACACCAAAGATAATAACATTCAAATAGTAACTTGAAACTAGAAATGCCTTTATTCGTGCAAGTCAATTTAACAATAACTCTCTCCCTTACACTTGGCTTATCCACACTAAACTGACCATTGATATTCGTCCTTTCAAACGAACTGATACTAGCATAGTCATTGCACAAGATACTTGAGTTGATGGGCGTCTTTTTCATTGTGGATGACAGCACCAACGACGACTGATTGATATCAGTTGATGAAGTTAGCGGTGGATCAAAACCTGTTGTTGCTCGGCTTTCAGAAGTTTGTCTACCTGCAAGACCACCACCACTGGTGTCCTTTACTATCAGCTCAGGTTTAGCACTAGTATCTGATGATAGGTGGGCTACATGCTGATCAATCACACTGACGGTCTTACAAGTATGCATGCCTTCTGCATCTGCTTCTGCATTTATTTCTACTTCACGTTCAAGTTCTACAGAAACTTTATTTAACTTAGCGGTAGTAGGCAATCCCTCCATATCATCATGATCAACCAAAGACAAATGTGAAGTATCATGATCATTATCACAAATATTCAATTTACCGTCAAGTTCATCATTTTCAAACTCTTTAATAATAGAAGTAGACAATTTTGATTCCTCCTCACAAATCATTATAGGTTTTATATCTTCACTCTGACTAGTTATACTTTGTAAACTTTTGGAGTCAGAACTGCACTCTGAAGCAGCAACTCTATTCTGTGACACTCTATTCAACAATGGCTTACCAGTTGCAACTACAGACTTCTTCACAACACCGTTATCGCCACACAATTCGGAGTCAGACCTGGAGTTTACATTTAGCTTATCACTGAACTTGCTCACTGGTTCACAGCTCACCTTTGTATGCACCTCTTGCAAACGAGTACAACACAACCGTGTTTGTCTTGCATCTTGCAACTTATCTGTTGAGGATGTACTACGAAACCTGTTACACTCACTAGGTCTATATGCATTACTATACATCATGGAGCCTTCTCGATATCCACCTCTCTGAGGCTTATTCGTCATCAATGAATGCATTTTGCTCTCAGACTGCTCTATTCTAGGGGTGAGATTCAATATACTGGCAAACTTGCTCATCGATTGATTGACACTAGTATTTACCAGTTTCAGGATATCATCAAACTTTGGCTCGATACCCTCATCCTCCATACGGGAGCTCATCTTCACCCACTTCCTTTGCAGTCGAGTAGGTAGACGTCTTGCTATTACTTCTAGGATAAAACTCGAGTTGAGGTCACTCATTCGATTCATCGAAATCATTGCATTCTTGTAAATTAGCAAATTATCTAAAAACTCAGTGAGTGCCTGGGAGTCATCCTGTAACTGACCACCATTACCCTCAACAGCCTCGAATAATTTTCCTGCAATCATCGAGGGTCTTCCAAACCTTTGACGTAATATGCTCATAGCCTCATCGTAGCCCTCCTTTGGCTTCATAAACTTACAGCACTGTATAGCTCTTGAAGCATCTCCAGTGCAATACCTCATCAAATACATTAACTTCATTTCATCACCTAATAGAAAACTACTCAACATGATCTCAAACTCCTTTACAAATTGTAAATAATCAGCTGGGTTTCCATCAAAACACCGTGGTTCAAATTTAGGGAGTTTGATGTTCCTATTATCCCTGAACGGCGAAACAGTAACATCAACCATATCATGCTTAACATCAGACACATCGTTACAATTAACAGACAAGTCACCATGACTTACTTTCCTGTTTGCATCCAAGACACTCTGTCCCTTCTTTGACCCAGACATTGTCGAACTTGACCCAATTCCAAAAACGTGCCAGATATTGCTTGTTCAAAGAGGACTTGACCGGCACCAGGAAAGATGAACGGCGACTATCCAAAATTTCACCAACTGTTTGAATCCGCCAGATCTGTTTCCATCGTCAGAAACTGTCAGCAAAGTCTCATAAACCGTTAATGCCCAGCTCTCGCTACGCTCGGGCCCACGCTGTTCCTTGAAGTTTTCAGAAACGCTTAGTAACAACGGACGAAAAAACCAAAACACCAATTGTTGACTCGAGGATTCTTTATTGTTACACCAACATATAAATCACGTTTGACTAAGGTCTGTGAACAAATATTACAATAATAAATCACAAGATTACTTCTGATGGTTTTCTCCTGACTTCTTTCTGAACAGCGACCGATGAGACGATGACTGTCGTATTGATGCCTCCGCGAAAATTGGGGAAGTTGATTTTGAGCAAACAACCAAGAATTGATCGTTCAATCTTCAAATCCATTGACACATGTGGTGAAAAAAGTTTCAGCTGTCGGACCAGTCAAAAGAAGCTTTGTTAACGCTAAAGAAGCGCCATCCAAGGTTGTTATGCTTTCCCACATCAACCATAAGGCATCCCTAATTTTGTGCACTCACCTCTCTCAAAAAGCAGTAGGAACTGTACTCCAGCAGAAAATAAATAATGCAGTAACTCCTCTCACTTTTTTCCAAAGAAATCGGAGCCAGCTCAGCCGCGTTACAGTACGTTTGATGGAGAGCTGTTAGCCATTTACCTAGCAGTTAGACATTTCAGTTATTTGCTACAAGGTCGTCATTTCACAATATTTACCGATCAAAAACCCTGTGCTACGCTTTCATTACGTCACTGGATAGACACTCACCCAGAGAAGTTAGGCAGCAAAATTATATCTTTCAGTTCTCGACAGGCATAAAGTACATAAAAGGCGACGCCAATGTGGTAGCCGACTCTCTTTCTCGCCGTAGTTTAGATCATCTGCTCAAGAAGGGAGGGTGGCGCTAGCTGATCAGTAGATATGATGGTGGTCAATAAGTCGAATCGCCCTATTCTGTAGGAACAGCAATATGAAATTTGACGGCTCGAGATATTTCTGATTTTTATTAGGGCTTAGATCTTTACCTTGAAAAAGATAATAATGAACGCCTTGACAGATCATGCTTCTGCCTTTAAATATATACCATTCGCTCAGCCTATTGTTGAGATGCGACCACGTAGGCACTGCACAGATTTATGGGGCATCTTATAAATTAACTTGCTATCCATTGTCAGATCTTTAAATACCACTTCACAATGTCTTGTCTCATTCATTTTGTAATAACGTCTTTACTTGATCCTCACTATATTCCATTAAACCTAACATTTTATAGCTCTATATGATTTTGATTACACTTATTCTATTCCTATTTTCTGTAGGGTACAAAAAGGTATGAAAAAACGGCATGAGAATAAATGTATTGAAACCAAAAGTGGACATCATGCTGGTAAGACATATATAGGTAGCATTATATATTGCAAATGAACATTGTCAGACTAGGGATTTTCATTTATAAATCAATTAACTAATGATACTTGCACTAACATATTTCATTGCATTTTATTCATTCAGCTCAACAGTATTGATATTCCAAAACAGCCTTCGATCCAATGTAAGCGTCTTACTTACCTCAACATTGGTTGGTTATCGTATGCCTACAACCACAGGATGAAAACGAAACGAAGTCGATTCTATTATTCGATTCATATAAGAAATATATTAACAATCAACAGTAAGTATTTAAACAATACAGAGATAGAAATTGTCAATCACCACATCCGCCACACGTCGAATGTCTCCTTGCGTACTTATAATGACATCGTGGTTTGGTTGCAAGTCTCTTCGATCGTCTAACTGGTTCTGTGATATTATTTCCATCAGTATCATCTAGACTTATTTCTGAATTATCTAAAAAGTCGGGATTGGTAGCGGAGTCATTGTAATCATAATCGGAACGACCTACCTCATTTATTCTCACTTGATCCAAGTGTCTGTTATGAACTGAATTATCTTCAATGTCTAATATCTTCACCGTTCGATTTCCCATTCTTTGTAGTATGATTTCAACAGAAGGTCTATAATCATTCCCTGTGTAATAATGTACATCAGAAGTCGTGGACATCAGATGCTTTCTGAGAATTCGAGATTTAAATAGTTTTGCAGGACTTTCATGAGTACTTGTATGCTCCGCATTGCGATATTGAAGTAAGAAGTTATCCACACATCTCTCTAGCTCATCAAGATTTTGAGGACTCATTGATGCTATAGCACTCCTTAATGTTCGTACAAAATTTTCTGCCAACCCGTTTGACTGAGGATGACGTGGTGCTGTGTACAAATGACGACAACCTATATGTTTGAGCCAATCATTGAAGTTCTTCTCCGTAAAATGAGTACCATTGTCAGTGACTAAGACATCTGGAATTCCTTCTCGACTAAAAATCTTTCTCAACGCTCTGTGAGTGAATTTGGCATTAGGACTATCTGTAATGATGACTTCTGGCCATCTAGAATAAGAATCCACAATAACTAAAGCATAACATGAAATTAAGTATGGACCACAGTGATCTGCATGAATACCCTGCCAAACCTCACAAGATGCAGGCCACGGTGTCCACGATGACTTCCCATAGGACATTTTATGTAAACAGCTAGAACAGCTCTTTGATCTTTTGTTAATGTCAGCATCAATTTCCGGCCACCAGCATGTTAGGCGTGCTAATGATTTCATCTTATCAGCTCCTAGATGAGCAGAATGCAGATCATCCAAAATCGCATATCTTAATGTTTGAGGAATAATAATTCTGTCATTCAGACATAGAAATCCTTCAGGATGGACTGAAATCTCATCTCTTCGCTTATAAAAGTCTGGAAATCTTCGCTTGCACTGAACATTCCAACCTCTTTTTGTTGCATTTATAACGCATCCGTAATATTTCCGAGTATCATTTATAAGTCGAACTCGATCCACCGGTAACGGCTGGACTAATAAGCAATCGGTATCATTAGTAGCATTTTCAAATAATGAATAACGAGATAAGAAGGCTGCATCAGGTATATCCTTTTCCGATCTATGTTCAGTAGTGTAGTCGTATGCACTTAGTTCTAAACTCCATCTTTGAACCATAGCAGCAGATGATTTATTCAAAGATTTTTCTGGATTGTAAATGAATTTCAAAGCTTGATGGTCAATAACTATGTGAAACTTAGTACCAAAGAGATACTTGTGCAAGCGTCTCATTGCCCATACAACTGCTAGAGCTTCTTTCTGGGTTTTTGAGTACCCTTGTTCACTCTTACTTAGACGTCTTGAAATACAAATAACAGGTTGTCCATTTTGCTCAAGTACTGCAGCTATACCCATAGGAGAAGCACCTGTAGTGAGAACAGACTTATCTTTCGATAAAAAGGTCTTAGGAAAGCTTGTTTATTAAGAAACTCCAAAGTTTTTCGCAAGATATTCTCATGCTGTTGTTCCCACTTAAATTGTTTTGTGGTGGTTGACAATTTCTATCTCTGTATTGTTTAAATACTTACTGTTGATTGTTAATATATTTCTTATATGAATTGAATAATAATTACGCTAAATACGAATTCCTGAATTCCGTCCTCTCTGTGTTTTGGTTGGATTCTTGTAATTCGGTCATCTCGGAATACTAATACTACGAATAAAAAAAATTACAACATGTTTACTGGCGACAATCTAAGAAAGTGGAGATAACCGTTGAGGGAAATTGGTAATGAATCTGCAGTAAAACTGAAGATTACCTATCCGTGATCTCAACGATGACATATTATTAGGTGACGTTGCTTGAATTAGAGGTGCCAAACGACTAGCATCAGGTCTGAAACCTTCGCAGTCTACTGTGTATCCCAAGCATGATACAGACGACAAAGTGAAATGACATTTAGATGGATTAACTAGAACATTATTCTCACATATACGCCAGAACAGTTTTAAAAGATGTTCATTATGCAATTCGATATCAGGACCATGAACTATAATGTCGTCTTGGTATGACTCAACACCATATAATCCATCTATCATCTGATTTATTACATTTTGAAATATTGCGGGTGAAACCTTTAAAAAAAGGCAAGAACTTATACTTGAACATTCCAAATGGAGTATTAATGGTTGTTAATGCACTAGACGCCTCATCAAGAGGAATTTGCAAATAGGCATCTTTTAGATCTATTTTTGAAAAGTATCTTGAGCCATGTAGATTGTAGAGAATGTTTTCAGTTTCTAGAGTAGTGCAACTTTGCTGTAGTAGACGACTGTTGAGTGTAAGGCGGTAGTCACCACAAATTCTAGGTGTTTTTCCATCAGCCTTTAGTGGCGTAACAATAGGAGTAGCCCAATATGAAGACTCAGCTGGCATAAGTATCCCTTGCTCAACCAACTTGTCTAACTCTCTCATAACTGCATCTCGCAATCCAAACGGGATTAATCGGCGTTTCAGGAAGATAGGATCACCCTCTATTTCAAGATGGATGGGCTGAATCTTCATGACACCTACACTCTTTCCATATAACAGAAGTAAGTCGCTGAACAAAGATTCATCAAACAACTCAGTACAAAGTGAGATTTCGACATTTAACAATCTAAGGGTTTTTAATCCCAATAAAGATGGACCATATTTACCAACAAGAAAGGGGATATTTACAAAATTGCCACTGTCTGATTTCAAAGAAAGGTTAGTAGCACCGATAAGAGGTAGCTTATGACCAGTTATGCCTGTAATTGAACTAGTAGTAGGATCTGTCTGGACATTCTTACAAATCGATTGTAAATCTTTCCTAGAAATTATAGATTCAGTACTCCCAGTATCAATTATAAAACAATGGGACTTGCCTGAACTTGTAGTGAATGTTCTCATTAGATGAGATTGAGTATTGGGAAAAGATGAAAGAGACATCGACTGCATTTTGTTAGATAAATTAAAAGAATTATCAGGATTCTGAGTAACAAAAGTATTCGAACTTCTGCAAACAGTCTCAATGTGTCCAACTTTACCACATTTGTGACACTTAGCACCCCGAAAACGGCAAGTGCTTCGTAGATGTAACTTTCCACAGGATAAACACGGTTTAATGTTTTTGATCTCTCGCTGCATTCTATTACCTGTGGATGACAGTTTGGATTGCTTTCCATGAACACTTGTATTTTCGACTTTGGACAACATGACATCAGATACTGACGTAGTGGGAGCAGAGTATTCACTGTTGACATCTTCATATGTAATACATAAATCTTTAGCAGTTTGAAAGGTACAAGAAGGAATCTGAATTAACTCTTTCTCTAACTTAGGAATATTGATTCCAGCAATTAGACGATCACGTAGTTGAGTATGCAGCTGATCTCCAAAGTTGCACTTTGAAGCTTGTATTTGAAGTTGAAGAATGAAGTCTCTTATCTTCTGATTGGAAGCACGAACCAGTTTGTTGAATTGAGCCCTCTCTCGCGTCTCAAATGTAGTTACATGATAGTGATTTATCAGAAGTTCACGAATCTTGACATATGAGAGAGAAACAGGTTTATCTGCAAACGCCAGATTCTTTACTAGGCTATATGCATCTAGCCCAATAGCAGTGATGAAACGTGCTGGTATTTTGTCATCTCGAACATTCTTGGAAATGCACCACGCATCGAAGCATTCAAGATAATCAGCAATCTCTCGCGGAGACCCATTAATGGGGAATATTCCCAGGTTACTTAGCTCCATCGCGACGCCATCTGAAATGCTGTTCAGAGAATGTCAATGAAGTTGAAGATTGAACGATCAATTCTTGGTTGTTCGCTCAAAATCAAATTCCCCAAATTTCGCGGAGGCATCAATACGACAGTCATCGTCTCATCGGTCGCTTTTCAGAAAGAAGATTATAAAACCCTCAGAAAAATTAGTCATACGTGATTTATATGTTGGTGTAACAATAAAGAATCCTCGAATCAACAATTGGTGTTTTAGGTTTATCGTCCGTTATTACTAAGCGTTTCTGAGAAACTTCAGGTGACAGCGTGACCTCGAGCGCAGCATGAGCTGGGCATTAACGCTTTACGAGACCTGCCTGACAGTTTCTGATGGTTGAAACAGACTCTGGTGGATTCAGACAGTTGGTGAAAGTTTGGATAGTCGCCGTTCATCTTTCCTGGTGCCGGTCAAGTCCTCTTTGAACAAGCAATATCTGGAACGTTTTTGGAATTGGGTCAAGTTCGACAATGTCTGGGTCAAAGAAGGGACAGAGTGTCTTGGATGCAAACAGGAAAGTAAGTCATGGTGACTTGTCTGTTAATTGTAACGATGTGTCTGATGTTAAGCATGATATGGTTTATGTTACTGTTTCGCCGTTCAGGGATAATAGGAACATCAAACTCCCTAAATTTGAACCACGGTGTTTTGATGGAAACCCAGCTGATTATTTACAATTTGTAAAGGAGTTTGAGATCATGTTGAGTAGTTTTTTATTAGATGATGAAATGAAGTTAATGTATTTGATGAGGTATTGCACTGGAGATGCTGCAAGAGCTATACAGTGCTGTAAGTTTATGAAGCCAAAAGAGGGCTACGCTGAGGCTATGAGCATATTACGTCAAAGGTTTGGAAGACCTTCGATGATTGCAGGGAAATTATTCGAGGCTGTTAAGGGTAATGGTGGTCAATTACAGGATGACTCCCAGGCACTCACTGAGTTTTTAGATAATTTGCTAATTTACAAGAATGCAATGATTTCGATGAATCGCATGAGTGACCTCAACTCGAGTTTTATACTAGAAGTAATAGCAAGACGTCTACCTACTCGACTGCAAAGGAAGTGGGTGAAGATGAGCTCCCGTATGGAGGATGAGGGTATCGAGCCAAAGTTTGATGATATCCTGAAACTGGTAAATACTAGTGTCAATCAATCTATGAGCAAGTTTGCCAGTATATTGAATCTCACCCCTAGAATAGAGCAGTCTGAGAGCAAAATGCAATCATTGATGACGAATAGGCCTCAGAGAGGTGGATATCGAGAAGGCTCCATGATGTCTAGTAATGCATATAGACCTAGTGAGTGTAACAGGTTTCGTAGTACATCCTCAACAGATAAGTTGCAAGATGCAAGACAAACACGGTTGTGTTTTACACGTTTGCAAGAGGTGCATACAATAATGAACTGTGAACCAGTGAGCAAGTTCAGTGATAAGCTAAATGTAAACTCCAGGTCTGACTCCGAATTGTGTGACGATAACGGTGCGGTCAGGAAGTCTGTAGTTGCAACTGGTAAGCCATTGTTGAATAGAGTGTCACAGAATAGAGTTGCTGCTTCAGAGTGCAGTTCTGACCCTACAAGTTTACAAGGTATTTCTAGTCAGAGTGAAGTTATAAAACCTTTTATGATTTGTGAGGAGGAATCAAAATTGTCTACTTCTGTTATTAAAGAGTTTGAAAATGATGAACTTGACGGTAAATTGAATATTTGTGATAATGATCATGATACTTCACAGTTGTCTTTGGTTGATCATGATGAATTGAGGGGAATGCCTACTACTGCTAAGTTAAATAAAGGTTCTGTACAACTTGAACGTGAATTGTAAAAAAAGCAGATGCAGTTGCAGAAGGCATGCATACTTGTGAGACCGTCAGTGTGATTGATCAGCATGTAGCCCACCTATCATCAGATGCTAGTGCTAAACCTGAGCTGATAGTAAAGGACACCAGTGGTGGTGGTCTTGCAGGTAGACAAACTTCTGAAAGCCGAGCAACAACAGCTTTTGATCCACCGCTAACTTCATCAACTGATATCAATCAGTCGTCGTTGGTGCTGTCATCCACAATGAAAAAGACGCCCATCAACTCAAGTATCTTGTGCAATGACTATGCTAGTATCAGTTCGTTTGAAAGGACGAATATCAATGGTCAGTTTAGTGTGGATAAGCCAAGTGTAAAGGAGAGAGTTATTGTTAAATTGACTTGCACGAATAAAGGCATTTCTAGTTTCAAGTTACTATTTGAATGTTATTATCTTTGGTGTAAATTACTCTGTTTCTACACTTGGTTGATGAGATATGTCGTGTGTTTGTTGGTCATCTATATTCTACGATACAATGACATGGGCGTGTTGCCGTTCAGATTTGAGGATATAGCTGATAGAAGGAAGTTAGCAAATGAACTCTGCGACGATTTTCCAACCTAGGGCGTCAACCTGAGAAGGGTTGTAGGCGTACTGCTGTAAGTCCTACAGTTCTTCAAAGGGTAGCGCATCAATGAGCAGTCCAATGTGCTTGGTGTATGATCTTGTACATATGTTCATATTGTATATACTGAATTGATATCATCTGTCATCTAGCTGTTGGTAATTCTGTTTGTGTCCGGACGACTTCCACTTGGATCATCAACCTGAGAAGGAATGTAGGCGTACTGCTGTAAGTCCTACAGTTCTTCAAGGGTAGTTTGTCGTGTCAGAATCCACAACATTTGATGTGTTGATTGTACATATGTTTGTGTTAAATAGTTGTGTGAGTTCCAATTATTGTAATTGTTGGTTAATCTTGTTTGTGTCCGGACATTCCACAAATTACAATCGTCAACGTG